TTAGTAAGAAAATGAAACCCAAAGATTAGTTATTTCCTTAGCTTAAGAGTCCATGGTAACTGAAAATTTACATTTTTTGTGCCTTTAATCAACGTTTTTCAGGAAAATCCACACAGAAATGAGTTATTTAATGGGCATGAAAGGTGTTGAGCCAAAAACCAAAAATTGGATAAAAATTCACAAACCTGTGGAAAAATGCAAGTTTCTTCACTTTGATTATTTTGACGAGAGCCTGATTCCACCACACTGCTTCACAAATGGTCGTGGTTTATTTCTTTTGGATTTTGTTCCATTCTCTGAAACTATTCTTAAAGATGTAGGTAATTTCATTTTTCGTCGACACAACTAGGAGACGGGCTGCTCCGATCCTGCCTGATAACGTCCCAGAAAAAAATCTAGATATTCCACAAAAATTTTCCCTATACGAGACTCGAACTTGAGTCTTTTGCATGCAATGGCGAAGCGCCTTATAACATAGGCCTACTTGGCTACTATTGCGACCTCCAAAACATCTAAAATATTTTTAATGTACGTACAATATATCTGAGGGAAGAGGTTTACAAACGACAGAGTGATTCAATATTATTATCAATAAGGGGAAAGGCGCTAATTAATAAGGATATAGATACAATTATACAGTGCAGAATCTACTAAAAATTTCCTAGCAATTATGCTATCGTCGGCGTATTGGTAAACAGTAAAGGCGCGTGCTAGAAGCCTTTGGAATTCAAAATCAAAGTCGGCTGAATGGGAGTGAGTTTCTGCTTTGTTCAAAGAGCTTATAAAGGTTTGGAAAGGATATAATCTCTCTGGCTCTGAACAGTTAATAAGTTGCCGGGAAGCCAATGGGAAGTACTTTTGATACCGATGTTTTACGCCCTCATTGACACGAATTAGATGGGCTGCTTCGACCTTATTGCCAGACAGGATCAATCCGGGCTGAGTGGAATACTATATCGGCAGACAGACGGAGATACTTGATAGAAAGCTTCCCCACTAATGAAATAAATGTGAGGCCTCGTGGTGAAATCAGGCACTCTTCAAAATAATGAAATCGAATATATCTGCATTTTTCCTCCAGTTTTGACACATTATTTTCTTCTAATGTCTGGTTTTTTTTTGCTCAGCACCTTTCCTTTTATGTTCATTTAACAACACATTCGGTTCGGATTTTATCGAAATTTCAGTTTCCACGAACTCTCAAGCTTTGGAAATCATCAAACTTTGGCGGCCATTTTCTCCTAATTTTATCTCTGAAACCAGGCGACCTCCTTCAATCGTAAATATACTTCTACCTCTATTCAAGATAGGCGTGTATTTTTTTTTCTACATCAAAATATGTCAAATGAACAAGCTTTTAAGATGTTACCAATAACTCCAGATGTCCGAAAGTTGAAGAGCGCCTGGCGTCGTGACACAAATGTGTGCAGCAACGCAAAGAGCGTTAGAACAGATACCGATCTCGTTAGGATGGTTGACAATGAGTAAGAATAGATAAGAGATGGGGCTGCCTTCTTCTTTCTTGAAAAAAAAAAGAGTAAAATTTTCATACGACTTTTATGTAGCTTTATCCGCTCGAACACAAGAAAGGGTCAGTTAGAATATGCCAGTGCTTGTTTTTCTGAGAGTGTAAATGAAATGTAGGCCTATAATATAGTTTAAAAGGTGAAAGGAGAGTACAACGGTGCAAAATGATATCCACATAGATCTAGGAGGCTACAGGGCGAAACATGACGAGCGAGAGAATGAAAGAGAGAGAGAGAGAGAGAGAGAGAGAGAGAGAGAGAGAGAGAGAGAGAGA